ATTAAAGTAAAAATATTTTAAAATATATATTTTTAAAAAATATTTTATATTCTTTTTCTCTTCAAATCTTTTCGTAGTTGAAACAAGTTAATGTTTCAAAGAAATATAAGTTTGATCTAACTTAAGTTTTCTTTATAAGTATTTTTTTTTGTCACTTGTGTCATAAACCTTTGGAAAATGACTCAAACGTTCTGGTCTTTCATCTCTTTCGTCGTTCCTTCTATGGGATGAAGTATGAAGTATGAGATTATGAAACTTCTTTATTTTTCTTGTTATCTTTTGTTTTGTTTTAATATTTTTCCTCTCATGCATAGTTATTTAATTCTTTTCATTCTCCACCTTATATATAATTTTTTTTCTTTTAATTTTATTTTTTTCAATTTTATGAACTCGCATAAATCCCGAAATCTCAATAAGATAAAAAAAAAACTCACAAATCTTGTAGGAAAAGTCTTTCTAAATTATTTTGATGAACTAAACAATAATAACATAACCACATCATTATTCCAAATCGTCAAGTATTTTTTTAATAAACTCCAAAATTACTACTTTTAGACATGCACAAACTCATATAACTCTTTTGTTAAAAATAAATTATATTTTCATTGTTAAAAAAAGTAACAAACTAAAAAGAAATAACAATAAGTGTTAAAAAGTATATTTTAGACTTAACTCAATCCCAAAAAACCGTTAAAAAATAATGATGAAGAGAAATTCAACACCTGAAATAATATTTTACCAATTATTATCTTGTACACTTGTACTTGTTATAGTAACGTAGTAATATGAATATTTAGGTAAGATACGCTGAGTTCAAAATAAAATCAACCCATTTCTGGTTCTAAATCACGCTATTCAATTCAATTTGTACGTCAAAACCAACCTTAACTACAAGGTAAAATGCATTACATATATTTGTCATTTGAAATTATTCTTATCAATGAGACTTACTGTTATATTGTTGTAATTACCTTTTAAGATTTTAATTGATTTAATACATGATTAATTGTCTTTTCGACCTAACTATTTTATCATGAGTTTATTTTGTTTGAGATTGTTTATTGTTAATATTTTTAAGTTGAATGAAAAATAATACGTAATAAACATTACATAATAAATTTATTTTAAAATTGTAAACAAAACTAACTAAATAAATATATATTAATGACGTAGTAAATGTACATTATGTAGTTTTTTATTTTAAATAAGTATTGTAATAATTGTTAGAAAGCTTGTCATTAATAACAATGATTTAATTATTAATAATTAATATTTTAACGTTAGAATTAATGGTATTCAACTGTTCGATCTTAATAATGATTTATTTGTTTGTCTCGGTAATAACTAATTATTGAGTCTGTAACTCATTCCGACAATCATCAATGTAGTTAAATTTTTTTTTTAAATTTAAAATCGATTTAAACTCCACTACTAACATTCTCATATTGATAATTTTTAAGACATTATATTATAAAAAAATAAATGATTATATTTGGGGGAGATTGAAAAAAAAGTTTATAAATGATTTTTTTTTCTCGTGTTACTCACGTTGTATCAAATCAATCATATATCATCCAATAAAATAATGTAACAGAACTTATGAAAGTTACAGTGTATGTTTATGACAAGTTAAAATTGAAAAAAATAATAATTTAATTGTAATATTCTTTTCAATATGCATAAAGTGAATTTTATTTCCTGTAAAAAGAAAAACCTTTTTAATCTGAACACTATTTATTTTAGTTAAAAGCGTGAGAATTTCCTCTTACACGGAATAGATTGCCCTTATCCTATCTCTCGTCCTGTCCACGTTGTCAATGTTCTATCCATTACAAACAACGTTCAGAAGCAGAAAGAACTCAGGTTCTTTGTTTGCAGCTTTTCTAGTTACCACACTCGCGCCATGGCCACGAAACCCATCTTCCCTATCCAATCCAATTAAAAATCCTCACTCTAAACCACTTCTTCAAAAAGTTTTCTACAATTTCTCAATCCCAACCATGGCCTCGTCGTCGCTCTGTTCCTCCTTCGCCTCCAAACCGTGAACCCGCACGCACTTTGTCACCACAAAACCCTAACTCCATGGGCTTCAGCTTTCTTCCGGAGACTCCAGCTCCAGCCGCCGTCGATTTCCGGCACACGCCGGAGCAGGATGCGTCGATCGGTGTAGTAGCGTCCCTCGGAGGATTGCTTGGCGGCATATTCAAAGGCGCTGACACGGGAGAATCCACGCTACAGCAGTACGCGGCAACCGTTAACATTATCAACGGATTGGAACCAGAGATTTCCGCATTGTCGATTCGGAACTGAGGGAGAGGACTTTTGCTCTTCGAGAACGCGTGCAACAGGGCCAATCTTTGGATTCTATCTTACCGGTGAGTTTGTTTTGCTTGTTGTAGTTTATAAGCGGTGTTTGAAATCAAATGCAGTTGCTCTTGATCGTGATGACGTAAGTGAAGTAAAGTGTGTGTGCGTGTGTGTTGCAGGAGGCGTTTGCTGTGGTGAGAGAAGCTTCGAAGAGGGTTCTTAGCCTCCGACCCTTCGATGTCCAGCTTTAGGTAAGTCTTTACTCGATGAATAGTTGGTCATGGAATTGTACTGTCATTGAAAATAGCTTACATGCAGTTAAGTGCTTTTGGTGTTGTTCTCGTGAAGTTTTAATTAAAATAACTGACGCAGTAAAATTTATATTGAAGGTTAACATAGGTCCTCCCAAGTAAGACTCCAATTCTGGTTGGAGATCAGTACCAAAAACTTTGGTGGAATTGTATCTAAGTTTTGTACTTATTCTATTGCCTTATACACGTTGTTATGTACTCTAGCTCGTACTATTTGGCTTGTATATTTATGCAGAAAAGAAAAATTCGTGAATATTGTTCGTTTGGGTCTTGTAGGAGGCATGGTTCTTCATAAGGGGGAAATAGCTGAAATGAGGACTGGAGAAGGGAAGACACTGGTTGCAGTTTTGCCTGCTTATTTAAATGCATTGAGTGGGAAGGGAGTTCATGTTGTGACTGTCAATGATTATCTGGCTCGGCGGGATTGTGAGTGGGTTGGTCAGGTTCCACGCTTATTGAAGGTTGGCCTCATTCAGCGTATGTCTCGTATTTCATTTCTTCCCTCTCCTCTTTATGCTGTATTCTCTCTATCTACATCTATATTCATCCATTGTTAGTCAGTTGGGGTTTGGTTGTCGGTCTGCCTGGGTAAACTTCTTAGTAAGCACTTTTGGAGAAAGAAAAAGAAAAAAATAAAGATGAGAGCGATTAAATTAATTTTAACTTATGAAGAAACTTATTTCATTTTTCCTCGTTTTATTCTTCTAAAAGTTCTCATGGAGACCTTTATGCAAAAGGCATTGTGTTTCAAACTTTTGTTTTGCTTTGTTTCCCTCCACTCTATTTTCATTTCTGAATAAATGTCGATTTATTCCTGACTTAATTTGTTCTTGGTTTTTGTTTAGGATTTATATGTTTCTTTTCTTTTTCCTTTTATTATCAACTGAGCTTCTTTAATATGCAAACCATTTTGAATCTATTCATTTATTGCAATCTAACACATGATACATTTGTTGGCAGAGAAAATGACAAGTCAGCAAAGAAAGGAAAATTACTCATGTGATATAACATATGTCACTAATAGTGAGCTTGGTTTTGATTACTTGAGAGACAATCTTGCCACGGAAAGTAATTTTTCCTTTATATATTTCTGCAATATGCTTTTTAAATTTTGATTTAGATCCTTTTAATATCGTGCTGAACTCTTCTGAACTGTGGAATGTACAGAGTGTCGAAGATCTTGTTGTAAGGGGTTTCAATTACTGTATCATCGATGAGGTTGATTCAATTCTTATTGATGAAGCTAGAACACCACTTATTATATCAGGACCTGCAGAGAAACCCAGTGATAGATATTATAAGGCTGCAAAGATTGCAGAAGCATTTGAGCGAGACATACATTACACTGTAAGTCTGCTAAATTATGTTTACATTTTGAAATTTAATGTATTATGTTTATCAGAGCAATACTCTATGTTTCTCTACTGATACCTTCTCTGCTCATTGTAAGCTTTATGTTTTTAAAAGTCTCATTATGTATAGTTAGGAAATTTGGTCAGATTTAATTAGAATATGGCAACAAGTTATAGATTGGGACTGGATTTTCATTGGTTAATATTAATATTTTTATCCCTTGATATGGACATTACAACAATGGCAAGTGAAGTTCCTTCCTGATTATTAGTTTTTTTCCTTTTGGGAGGTATACTTACTTTGTGAGAGGAGATATTTGTTTGACTTATTCTTAATGAGATCTCGATTCTGTCTATGGTTTCATTAGATATCTTAATCTTGCAATCTTATTTTATCCAGTTTCACCATCACTGTGAACCACAGTTAGATTCAGGTTCATTATACTTTTTAGTTATTGAGAGAATTTGGGTACTCTATTCTCGATCTAGGAAAGAGCTCCCAGAGATTTATGTATCTTTTGGAACATGTAAGAGCAAATCAATCAACTTATTGATATTAGAATACTCATACAATTCTTCCTGTATGAATTCTATTGGCGCCAAAAATGATACATTGGAAGAATCATTTGAGTCTTCATATAGGTGATTGTTATGCTTCTGCATAATCCAAAAGGAAGAAATATCTTTGAGAGCATGGACAATTTGTTCAAATTGTTCATAACATAACATTATTAAAACAACTAAATGTAATTATTTTCCATTAATTATTATTTTTATCCTTCAATTCAAACTGGACAACAATGCTTAGTGAAATTCATGTGTGATTATTAATTTTTTCCCTTTTTCATGGTATAGTTTATGAGAGGAGATCTTCGTTTGCCTGGTCTGTGATACACGGATGAGATGTTTGAATTGTTTATACTATTTTTAAACATGTATAAATTAGATAAAAGGAATATTTATCCCTGCTTTTTAATGGAGTTTATGGACCTTTTCTATCTTTTCAAACATCTACCTGTCTGGGGGTGGGGGAAATTGAAAGAAAATATGACCAGACTAGACCTAGGTGAATGAAAATGAGGGAGAAGATAAGAGGATATGATAACAATCAGCACGGTATGAAAAGAGATAAAATAAATGAATATGTTATTGCTCACACTGTCCAAAAAATATAGAGGAGAAGAACCTCTCACTATACGGAATACAATGGCCTCAGTACCAAGTCCCAAATTTCACCTTCCTTTGTCGCCCCTACCCTCCCCTTCCTACCTCCAACTCCCCTTCCTACCTCCAACTCCCCTTCCTACCTCCAACTCACCTTCCACTCAACAATTCTGTTAAGATACTATTCATTGGGTTTGTGTTGTTGGACTCCACAAAATAGGTTTCCACTTCTTCCTTTCATACACCTTGCTGCCCTTTTTCCTTTAAACTTTTACTCGTATCACTCATCTCCCATAATTTTCACCTTGTCCCCAAGGTGAAGTTCAGGGAAGTAATTCCCCATCTTTTGTAGAGATTCCCAAGAATTTTCACATGATGGCATACCCTTTCATTTGACTAACTTCCGGGGCCTTGCCTTCTCCTTCTCTAAGAGCTAGAATCTCTTCTGGTTGCATTTCTAGCTCCCAACTGGATGGACCTTCCTACCTTCTGCCAACTTCAATTTATGAGCTACCTCTCCCACACTTCCAGTTACTTCATAGGGCCCATAACGTCTAGGATTTAGCTTTTGATTGATTCTCTTGGCTAATTTTTTAGCTTATAAGGTTGGATCTTCAAGTAAACCTAATCTCCAATCTTGAATTACACCTTTCTTCTAAACTGGTCTGCTTGCTGCTTCATGCGGTTTTGGGCTTACAATAAGTGATCTTTGAGTTCAGTCAACATCTCCCAACTTGAAAGATCTATTGGAAGTTAATCCTTTGCTTTTTAGAGAAATCTGCAATACTTTGCTGGTCATAGACTCTCCCTTATCGTCCTCTTCTTTGCTACTTCCCGATTCTTCCTCTTGTGATCCTTCAATGAGTAGAAATCGATAGAGTTTCAATTTGCAAACATGATCGCAACCGTAGGTTTCTCCACATTTAATACAGACCCCCTTTCGACTTCGTTCTCTCAATTAAGCTTGAGAAAGTTTCCTTCCACTCAAGGGTTTCTTCTCCCCCTGATCTGCTTCATTCATCTTGCTGCTCGTTCCCTCCTTATTTCCTCCTCTTTCCCTTCTAGTGAAACTGTGAGTATGCCTTCCCATTGTTTTCTCCATCAATTTCTTTTCTGAATTCATCAGCCCCACTTTGCGCAGAGCAATATTCTTCTCTTCCAGCAACAAGGCCCTATCCATCAACTCCTCAAGAGACCCAGTCGTAAATAACTTCAATTCGGTTTGAATCTCTTCCTTCAAGCCAGTGAGGAAGATTCCCTTCAGCATTATTCTCTTCTTTCTTCAATGGTGCGGACGCACATTCAAACTTCTCCTTGTATTTCATTACAGAACTGGTCTTCTGCAGACGTAACAGCAGCCCAAAAGGATTTTGCACCTGTCGCAGTTGAAAGCATCGGATCAACGCACCTGTAAACTCCGCCCAGTTGGGTGCTTGACTCTGTTCTGCCCACCATTGGTACCAACTGAGAGCCTTATCTGCTAAGGCTATCACCATAGCTCCAATTTTTCATCATCTTCTACCAGATTGAGTTTGAAATACCTTTTAGCCCTCACGATCCAGCTATAACATCTTGAAATATCAGAATCTGAAGTTTGCACCCTCTGAAAACACGTGATGACTCACGACTACTAGTTCGGGTCGTGCGGCTTGCATTGTCTTTACTCTCAAGTTTGCCATCAAGAACATTGTGTGTCCCCCTCCTCCTTTGCGAATGGCGCTTGCAAGGCCATCCTCATTGTGACCTCCTGTGGGAGAGGATCAGATTTTTCAACTCAGCCAGTTGTTGCTCTAGTCCTTCCATATGTTGCCTCATTGCACGACGAGTCAGTACCATGCACTCCTAGAAGTGAGTGGTCTGATACCAGCCTCATATAATAACACAAAAAACAATGAAAATGAAAGTATTCCTTTCTGTATTCAGAATTTCTGAGTTCATACAAGGAAAGAACCAAAACGAGAGAGAATATTAGTCTCTCTGCTCCCAAAAGTTCCCAGGTCATTCCCGCACCCACCCCTCATTCTCCCTCTCTCCCCTATGTTCTAACAGAAAGATACCCACACGCTCTCATATCTTCCATGTCAACTATTCTGTTATTACAGAATCAAGGGAGTGTGCTTGTGGGTCCCCAAGTGATGGGTTTCAACCTCTTCATCTGTTACGTGCCTGACCACGTAATTTGCCTTACACCGTGAACGGAACGTTACTCACGTGAATAAAAACGCTTTATTATTGAAACTCTGGAAATCACGAACCAACTAATGACTGGGAGCAGGTTCTCCTTCAGTCACACGAGAGCATAACCTCTCTTACAATATTCAAACAATCAAAAACATAACCTGACCCTAGGCGCCTCTCCTAATTAATACTAATTACTCCTTCCCGAAAAGGTAAGGAATAATCATAATCGCCTAATTATTATAATTAAACTTAATTGCCTATTTAATATAATAATCTGGAAAGAATAAATCTGTCCTTATTAACTCTATTTATTACTGCCTTTATTACAGTAATAATCTGCTGACGCCCCCTGCATTCCTGCCTATCCTCCCGTTTGCCAGCTATTTATCATGGACGCTCGTTCCTGTTAGGACGTTCGTCCTCGCCCCTCGTTGGGACGCTCGTCCTCTCGTCCATGCTAGGACGTTCGTCCATGTTCTGCTCGTCCTCGCTCGACCTCGCCCCTTGTTCCGAACGTTCGTCCATGTTCTGCTCGTCCCTGTTAATACGTTCGTCCTCGCCCTTCTCCCTCCTATATCTCTTTCTCTCATACACTCGCCAGGCCCTAACATCATCTCACAGACCTGATGGATTTTCCTACCCTGCCCTTCCATTCCTTCATTCGTATCACCTTGAAAGTCATCTACCGTGATTTTGAATTACTTTGGTCATACAAAATCATAAACTCTAAATATTATATATAGCAGAATGCTTATGTGAAGCTAACAGAGCAATAACTTTGATATGCAAGTTAGTTTCTATTTCATGGTCTGTTGAAAATGGGAAACAAAGTTTGCTAGAATAAACATGAGTTTGTGGAGGTCTTTTGATTATTTTTGTATTGTGAATGTTTGAGGTTCCTAAATTTTCATCTTCACCTTAACTTGTTCTTATATTCGATGACAGGAGACATGCTTAATTTATTATAATAAAATTGCATCTTTGAATTTTATTATTATTACTGAAATTGTCATTGCAGGTGGATGAAAAACAAAAAACAGTTCTACTTTCTGAGCAGGGTTATGAAGACGCTGAAGAAATTTTGGCTGTCAAAGATTTATATGATCCACGAGAGCAGTGGGCTTCATATATCCTAAATGCAATAAAAGCAAAAGAACTATTTCTTCGGGATGTAAACTACATAGTTCGTGGAAAAGAGGTCTTTATTGTTGATGAGTTTACTGGCCGAGTCATGCAGGTATTTCGAGTTTCTATTTGAATTCATGGCAATAAACAATTTAGTGAGCAAAGGCAGAGAGAATAGTTGCGCCAGCAGTAGCAGTTTCTTGATCTACATTTGATATAATTATTATTATAATCGTAATTATAATTAAGATAATAGAAAAACTTTGCTTTATATATTATGGCTTAGAAAAGTATTAAATGCTAACTCAATGCATTGCGTTGTCTTTTACTGGATAACTTGTGATTGTTACTCGGCAATAAAAGCATTACTATTTAATTATTGATACTAAAAGAATAGTTGCAATTAATATTCACTTAGTTTCTGCAAGAAAATCATATACAGTCTACACCTGGATTATACTTGACCTCCGCAATTGAATTGCAAATTAATAGTGATTCTATCTTAGGATACATTTTACGTTCTGCCCTTATCTTTAAACAAGCTGCAGTGATCTGGTATATACAAGGATTCTTTCTTTTGCTCGTGATTACAATGTCAAACCTTGGTGTTTACGTTACTATCTAATTATTGTAGAGTACCTGTCTAGCCAATGGCAATATCTTTCATATTACTGGCACTCACTACCACTTCTATTTTGAGAAAACAAATAACTAAACCTATATGAAGAAAGAATGTCACGTGTTCAAATTTCTGAGAAGTTAATTTGGTATAAGTAATTTTTATTTACTCATAGGGGAGAAGGTGGAGTGATGGTCTTCACCAAGCAGTTGAGGCAAAAGAAGGGCTGCCAATTCAAAATGAAACTGTCACGCTGGCTTCCATCAGTTACCAGAATTTCTTTCTTCAGGTTGGAAATGTCATGTTTGAGCTGGTTAAGTGAATCATCATTTCAGAATTTCGTTTGCATTTGAAATTTCCTTGATGCTCTCAACTATGTACCTCTACAGTTTCCCAAACTTTGTGGTATGACTGGCACTGCAGCAACAGAAAGCACAGAATTTGAGAGTATTTACAAGCTTAAAGTTACAATTGTGCCAACAAACAAGCCTATGATAAGAAAGGTTTCTTCTTGTCATTAATTGTGCAACACTTTAATACTTTTTGCCAAATGGGATCATCTGTATTCCAATTCCTGAACAGGAGGAATGATAATATATTTATTACATATATATATGTGCAAAGTATGTGTAAATTATTATAGTTTCGAGATAGTGTGGATGGATTACTTCCATTTAAAGTTATGTTCAGAAGCCTTAATGTTCATCTTAGTAGATTTAGTTTGTACATAATAAACAGTATTTATAAATTGCTTGTTGTTTGTTTAGTTCCTAATCTTTAATTTCTTTCACAGGAAGAATCTGATGTAGTTTTTAGGGCAACTTCTGGGAAATGGCGTGCAGTTGTAGTGGAAATCTCTAGGATGCACAAAACTGGTCGCCCAGTGCTTGTTGGCACGACTAGTGTTGAGCAGAGTGATTCTTTGTCGGAGCTATTGAAAGAAGCTGAAATTCCGCATGAGGTAAGGTCTCTCCTATTTTGTTATACTATAACTTGCAAAAATATATTGAGGCCCCATTTACAAGGTATACACTTTCTTTCTTTACAAAAAATAAAAAAAGAAGATGAATCATATTTTTCAAGAAAGGCTTTTTCACTTCCTCAAAAGAACTTGATAAGTTATACATTTTTTTTTTCTTTCTATACATCTCATGAAACAACATTTTAGCATTCATTTTTTGAGATTTATATTATATTTTAAGGTGACTTTTTGAGTGTTTAAAAAAGTTTTTTTTTTTCTTTTTAATACTAGTTTATGAAGTATCCACCCATTTTTAGGTGTTGGCTCAAATGTTTGAGCTGATGATACTTTTTTAATCAGAAATCAGGTCAGGGTTGGTCTAAGAAAAAACATTTCTCAAGCAAGAGGAATGTTTATGCTTCATGGATATTGTGTCATTAGAATACTTTGTTAATGATACTTGTTTCAAATTATTTTTGTTTCTTAAAAGGTAGCCTACTCATAGCCTAGGACAAGCTTTGGTAACACGGGCCATCTACTCATCCATTTGATAGAATGAGATGCTACCATTTTTTTCTTAATATTTTTGGGTTTATAATGAGTTATGTGCTTCCTAGGTTCTTAATGCGAAACCAGAAAATGTTGAGAGGGAAGCAGAAATTGTAGCTCAGAGTGGTCGTTTTGGGGCAGTGACAATTGCAACCAATATGGCTGGTCGTGGGACAGATATAATCCTTGGTGGTAATGCTGAATTTATGGCACGGTTGAAACTTCGTGAGATATTGATGTCTAGGTATTCTTTTATTATGGAGAATGTGTTCTACCATCTACTTGTTGCCTTCAGATTGAGTATTATTTAAAATGATATTTGGAAGAAAAGGGGATAGGCTTAGTGGGGGAGGTGAGGATACTTAAAGGGAGATGCTGCCTGGGGTGGGCTTTTAGTGAGTGAGATGGTCTATGCAAAGTTATAAACAAAAGTCCTTGAATGGAAGTGTGTTTTCCCGTTTATGAGGGAAAGAAAAGAAAAGAAAAACTTGTCTGAAGTGAAAGGAGTGAGGTGGTTGTATGACGTGGTTCGGGGATTTCAAGCACCTACTATTGTGTGTGAGTAATGCCTCTGTATTTACAGGCAGGCGTATTGTAACATGTGTATACGTTGGTTGCACAACCTCACTGTTTTCTGGGATTTATTCACAACTTTAATTGGAAGACATATTCTGATTGCTCCTATACTGTGGTTAAAATCCTCGAGCCTGTTTTGTTAGATCTTAAAGTAAAACTATTTCTAAGTTATTGAAGTCATCTTACCAAGACAAGCATTACATTTATTTTCTGAGACTAAATGATTGCAGAGTTGTTAAGCCATCCGAAGAAGGTTTTGTTTCAATAAAGAAACCTCCACCCTACAAGACATGGAAGGTATGGTGTTTTTCTTTTAAAGTATTGATTGTGTTACCACAATTATGGTGTTGTACACTGACATACTCTTGTTTACTCTTTAGAAGGAGGATGTTAGCAACCTATTCTTAGATCAAAATGTGCTATTTACTATATTTGAAAAGCAAAACTAGAAAAGGGTATTTAAGACACTTTAAGAACCTTTGAAGCAATTGGGTAGACGAAAAGATGAGTTTTACAACAGTATGCAATATGGAAAGAAAAGAATGGCATGCTTGAACCAGGCTTTTGCTAGATCATCTTTGACTGTCAAAGAGGTGCGGTAATGGTTAAAAAATGGTGGAAAGAACATGGGTTGGTGTTATAAATAGGGAATTTTGGATGTCTGTAGAAAAAGAAAGCTGAATTCAAAATCTTTTTTGTTTTTCAAATATATTATATTTCAAAAAGGTACCCCCTAAATCTATGTTGCTTTAGATGTTGTGTGCTTTAATTTGCTTTAAAAAGTGTTGCATGTTTATATGTTTGCCTCTACATACTTTCTGCAGTACTTGTTTTGAAACTCTGCATATATCATTATTCAGGTGAATGAGAAGTTATTCCCATGCCAGCTATCAGATAAAAATGAGAACTTGACCGAAAAGGCTGTTCAATTAGCTGTAGAAACATGGGGCAAGAGATCATTAACTGAGCTTGAAGCAGAGGAGCGCCTATCCTATGCATGAGAAAAGGTGACAATCGGTGAATGATAAATTTTCTTTTGTAATTAATGCTAAAAATTTGAATGTTTTAGCAACTAGTTTAACTTTCTTGAGACTTTGATATATCACTTTTTTGTGAATTTTAATTTAGTATATAAAAATTGTCATTATATATTTTTATGTAGGGCCCTGCTCAAGATGAAGTCATTGCCAAGTTGAGAAATGCATTTCTGGAAATTGGAAAAGAATACAAAGTCTTCACTGAGGAAGAGAGGAAGAAGGTTTATTTTTCTTAACTAATACTTCTCATAAGTTGCTGTTGATTAACTATTATTATGACTGCAGGTTGTGGAAGCTGGTGGACTCCATGTGGTGGGCACAGAGCGACATGAATCACGGCGAATTGATAATCAGGTTTTCTTTTTCTTACCTCCTTTTCCTTGTTGGGTTGAAAGGAGGGAAGCAGGGATGGAATTGGTTTTGGACTTTGTCATCTGGATATCTCTTACCTGCTTCTTTCATCTTGTGGCTATACTAGCTAATCCTACCTTGGCAAATAAGTATTTGAACTTGAAATGTTGATATTTATGCATAAAGTTGCGTGGTCGAAGTGGCAGACAAGGAGATCCAGGTAGCTCGCGCTTTTTTTTAAGCCTTGAAGATAACATATTTCGCATTTTTGGTGGAGATCGAATTCAGGTAATGCATTTGTTGTGCTGCTGCAACAGTAGGAATTTATTTGCCCAAAACTTGATTATGTTAAGATTGTAATGTGTACTGTGTAGGGCTTAATGCGAGCTTTCAGAGTTGAAGACCTGCCTATTGAGTCCAAGATGCTGACCAAAGCATTAGATGAAGCCCAAAGGAAAGTGGAGAATTATTTCTTTGACATTCGGAAGCAGTTGTTTGAGTATGATGAAGTACTTAACAGCCAAAGAGACCGAGTTTATACTGAGAGAAGGCGAGCCCTTGAATCAGATAATCTTCAGTCTCTTCTTATTGAATATGCTGAATTGACAATGGATGACATTTTAGAGGTAAGCCTGCCAAAATTATGGTTCTCTTTATACCTTGCTGCATTGTCTAACTTGATAATGCAATTATGATGGATTAGGCAAACATTGGTTCTGATGCTCCAAAGGACAGCTGGGATCTTGAAAAACTAATTGCAAAAATTCAGCAGTAAGTGAAGTCTTTTGCCCTTATGCTTGATGCCATGCTTGATTTAGTTATATGCAGAGCCTTTTACTCATTCATATAAACTGATCTGAAATGGTTATAAATAAGAGGTAGCACTGCTAAGTGCTTTCTGCACAAACAGTTCACCAAATCTCGAAGCCTATTTTTTTCACCCTCCGTGACGTCATACTGGATTGGAGAAGTTAGAATTGCCCCTGAATTTGCAAAAACTAGCTGTTTTCATTGAATTGGTTAAGTAGGAGATGTTTTGGTCACATTGGTACACACCACCTCATTATGATAACTTATTGATTACATGGTGCAACAACCCAGCAAGAGAAAAAAGGACTTAACTGTTTTGACATTATTGAATATTTTGGTAAAAATATATTTTCTAGAGTTATAAATACTGGATTATGTATAGAATCAAAATATCTTCTAATTTATTAATTTAATAAACTTGTTATTAAAAATTATGAGTGCTTTCTTTGATTACTTTATTCAATTTTTTCTTCATAAAATCCAATTAGATCATTGATTTAATAAGTTGAAACTGTGACCCCACAACTGTTCTACTTCACTAATGTTTTACTTTCATTTTGTATTGGTGTTAAATGGTAAAACATTTAATTTTTTCCTTAACTAAGATTTTCTCGAGCAATCTTAATATCATCCTTCACATTATCCTGGTCCACTCAGGGAGGGAATTAAGGGACTTTTTTTTTTTTTTTAAATGTCTGATTTCTACTTGTAATTACAAGGATGTCACCTTGTTTTCATTTAGTTCAGTTTTCAGAGAGTTGTCCAAAGATACAATAAAAAGCTATTATTTTTATGATTTCTTATATAAACTTGTAAAAACAAGAAACAATAAAATAAAATGTCGTTTTTAAATAAAAATAAAATATTTTCTCAAACCAAAATATTCCTAACTTTCCTATGTCAGCCTAGAGTCCAAACTGAGAAGTCAAAATAAGAAGCGCTCTTGGATATCTCTGTATACATTCCTATTTTGTCCATTATGATTTTATGCATTATTGAGGGGTTTCTATTTGAGTTTAATAGACACGCTTTTTCAGTGTCAAAGTTATTGAATTGATAATCAATCAAATGTTGTCTTTGATATAACTTGTAGTTGTTGATTTATTGTAGAAGGTAACAAATTTATAGAGTAAACGTGATGTTCTCTTCCTTATTTAGGTACTTGATAAGAGTTTAGTTTCTGTGTGTGTATGTATGTTCTGTTAATGTAATTGAGTGATAATATAGAATATTTTACAGCATAGATGCATCTATTTATGCATTTTATAATGCATGTTTTCGGCCAATCTGGATATAACAATTAAGCTGAGAAGATATTTATGTTTCATCAGATATTGCTACATGTTGAATGATTTAACCCCTGATTTGCTGAAGAATAAGTGTTCGGACTATGAACAATTGCGGAATTATCTCCGTCTTCGTGGTCGTGAAGCCTACAAGCAGAAAAGGGTCAGTTTAACGATTATTGTTTAGGAACTAAATCAATCATTCTCTGTGTTCCTATAATTAAAACATCGGAGAGGGAGGACAACTAATTAAACTTTTTACTCTTTAAAAAGGGGTATTCTTCTAGTACGTATTTTATTTATGTCAAAATTATAACGAGAGAAGATGGGAATATAAATTTTAATAAAGCTTAAACATTTAATAAGTTGCTGTCTAGAATTTTCCTTTTCAATTACTTTAATGTTGGCTATAGGAAATGGTGGAGGAACAAGCAGCAGGCTTGATGAAAGAAGCAGAGCGGTTCCTGATCTTGAGCAATATTGATCGCTTGTGGAAAGAACATCTGCAAGCACTAAAATTTGTTCAGCAAGCCGTAGGGCTACGGGGATATGCGCAGCGCGATCCACTTATTGAATATAAACTTGAAGGCTATAACCTTTTCTTGGATATGATGGCACAAATTAGAAGAAATGTCATATATTCCGTATATCAGGTTTGCTTTGATCCAGAGTTTTAGTGCTTTCCACCTTAAACGTTATTGTAGTTTTTATACCTGCTTCGCTTTTTCTTCGAACTTTTGGCAGTTCCAACCTGTGTTGGTAAAGCAAGATCAAGAAAAAACAGAAAATGGAAAATCAGGAAAACGTAAAGCACGCAGTCGGGTTAACCCAAATCCTGATCCAGTTGGCACCATCGAGCCTTCAACATCAAGTACAGCGTCCTAAAACGGTAATCAAGACTAGTATTTATCAAGAGTTACTGAACGAGAGGAATCAACGAAAGCTTCAGTTAGTTCTCAATGTTTGTAGAATTTATTGTAGAGATTTTCATATGGTCAAAATAAATTTATAGATGTATAGTAATTCTTAAATTTAGGAGAAAGAATATATTTCTTATTATTTGTATGCTTACATACAAGCGCTTATGGAATATTTTAAGAAATAAAAGTAGCTTATTTTTACGGAAGAAATCCCTAAAGAAATAATAGCAAGATACAAAAACATATAATAAATTAAATACAAGGAATTAATATCTAAAATTTCCTAAAATATATTTTGACATTCTTGAATAAGTGTTTTTCATTCCCAGTTTAAATAAAATTCTTTCAAAATTATTGCTACTCGGCAAGCTGAACTTGAGCGTACACATGAAATGCAAATCAAGCCACGTTTATCCATCTCAATGTGTATGTTTTTATCATGCTGCAGTGGATTGTGGGTTATAATAATTGTAAATTTATTATCACAATATAACTTCATAGATTCATCTCATTTTATCTTAAGTCTTCCAATATATTTTTCAGCCATAAAAATTCATATATTTCTTAGGCCATCTCATTTTATCTTAGGTCTTCCAATATATTGTTCAGCCATAAATTTAGCCATAAAAGTTCATATATTCCTTAGACTATTGTTCGAGGTTCATCCCACTTTATCTTAAGCCTCTTAATATAATCTTTAACCATAAAGTTCACGTATTCCGTAGAATATTGCTCAAAATTTTGCTTTAGTAAGAAATATAGTTATTACACTTTGTTTTTAACTTTTTCGAGTTACTAGGTTTCCATTAAGAAAGATATAATATTCAATAATTGACCTCTTATCCACAAATGAATATGCATAATCAACATTTGTATATGTCTCAAGATTAGTATTCTTATTTCTTTTGAACAGAATTCCTCTTCCTAGAGTCCATTTTAAATACTAGACGATTATAAATGCAGTTTGTAAATGTGTTTCCTTTAGTTGGTGTATAAATTGGCTAACTAAGCTCAAACAAAGGCCTAGTGTAAGATAGACAAATGAGTCTTCCCACAAGTCTTTAGTACATTTTTTTTTATCCAGAGAAACATCCTCGTATGTACTTCTCAACTTTATATTTGAATCAACAAGTATATTTTTTGGTTTGCAGGTTGTTTTGGATGTAGCAAATCATAAATGTATTTTTGTTCGGATATGAAGATTCCTTTCTTGGAATGAGCTACTTCAATACTCAAAATATTTTAGCTTCCCTAAACTCTTGATTTTGAATTCCTTGGCAAGACATTGGCTTAACCTTTTTTGGTCCTTTCTATCATTCTGAGTGATAATTATATCATCCACGTAAACTAATAATATTGTTACTCCCTATTGAATGAGAATGTTTGATGAATAAAGTGTGATTTACTTATCTTTGTTTATATTTAAGACTTGTCATAACTTTGGTGAATCTCCCAAACCATGTTGTAAGTAACGGTTTCAACCTGTATGGTGTCTTTTTTAGTTTGCAAATTATATTGGCATCCATATGTCCCGTATATCAGGTGGTATCTCCATATATATTTCTTCTTCAAGATTCCCATGTAAGTATGCATTTTTACATCAAATTGTTGCAATTCTAAATTGTAGTTTGTTGCCAACGATAAAATTATTTTAAGTGTGTTCATTTTGACAATTGGTGCAAAAGTCTCTAAGTAATCCACTCTATATGTTTGGGTGAACCTCTTAACCACCAACCTTGCTTTATACCTCTCAATAGTCCCATCAGCATTGTACTTCAAAGTATAAGCTCACTTGCACCCAACATTCCTTTTTCTAGGTGGTAAGGTGACCAGTTGCCAAGTATTGTTTTTCTCTAATGCCTCCATCTCCAATTTCATGACTTGTTTCCATTTTTTGTCAATTAATGCCTAAGATACAAAAGAAGGTGTAGTTGTAGTGTTTCGGCTTGTGAGAAAGGTTTTATGGATAATAGAGAATTTTTCAAATGATAGATAATTTATCAAGGGGTAAGGTTGTTATTTGGTGCATGTTCTGGTCCCCTTTCTAAGAGTAATTGGGAAGTCTAAATTGTGATCTACTTGTTCAACTGGTTTTTTTAGAAGGAAATTCATCACAAGCAATAGAGTTAGAATTTATAAGATCAAAGGGAATTACTTCAGGAAATGTTGTAGGATTGGATTCTTGAACATGAATAGATCTTGGAATGGCCTACTAGCTTGCCAAGTATTGCTTTCCTCTAATGCCTCCATCTCCAACTTCATTACTTATTTCCATTTTTTGTCAATTAATGCCTCAGAAGAAGGTGTAGTTGTGGTGTTTCAGCTTGTGAGAAAGATTTTATGGATAAGAGAGAATTTTTCAAATGATAAATAATTTGTCAAGGGGTAAGGTTGTTATTTGGTGTTGGTTCCTTTTATAAGAGTTATTGGGAAGTTTAAATTATGATCAACTTGTTCAACAGCTTTTATGGAAGGAAATTCATCACAAGCAATAGAGTTATAATTTATAAGATAAAAAAAATTACCTCAGGAAATGTCGTACGATTGGATTCTTGAATATGAGTAGATCTTGGAATGGCTTTTCCTCTTCATGTTTACACCAGCTTTTTTCCAAATTTTGTTGCAAATTGAGGAATTTGATTCATATCTACTTGATCCTCTTCAGCTTCAACAATATTTTTTCTAATTTATGGTCCAAAAGTTATATTTGGTAATATAAAAGGCTCATCTTCCTTTTTAAAATCTCCCTTAAAGATAAGATTGAAGTAACTTACACATTAATTGAAAGTAACATCTCTTGATACAAAATTTTTGGGATTGAGGATAAAAGCATTTATACCCTTTTTGTGTGACTGAGTACCCCAACCAAGAAAATAGATTTTATTGCCCTTGGATCAAATTTTTCTCTTCTGGTACTATGAACATGTATAAAGAAAACACACCCCAACAAAATGAGAATACGGAAAGAAAAAATAGACACTTGATTAGATCAAACTAGAGCACTTTCTTTTTCAAAATAATGTTCCAAAGGCACTTCGGCAGAAGCTATACTCATTGCATATAGAAAATATAACATATTAAATACATGGGAATAATATCTAAAATTCCCTAAAATATATTGACAGTAATCTTTCGATTCATTACATTAACGTTGTAATGTATGGTGAGATAAAGTTATCATGCTCAAAAAAACAAAAACAAAAAATCTAAAATGCATTTGCAGCCCCACCCCCACGTAATAAAAAGAAAAAACAGAACAACACCTCTAGAGTGTGAGGCCAATACTATTGGTTATGAATCCAATATACATCTCTACCAAAATATTACATCCCTGAAAGGGTCTTAGAAACCCCCTTCAACATCAAAATATTCTTGCTCAATTTTTACCGTCAGGTGGAGGTTCAAATCTATCGCTTTGAACAACCTCCTCGATAATTTTATTTATGCTGCTGTCTTTAACCTGCATTTATTGAAACATAAAGAACTGTCCAAATCAGTATCCCAAGATAAAAAAAATTGGGGAATGTGATGTTGAAAAAAGAAATCATGGTTGCTCTTCGAGAGAGCCTGTGTAGCAGTTCCCCCAAAAAGTTTTGTTCTACGAAAAAGAGGGATTAACTTGTTTATTTTTTATTCCTTTTAGAAATTGTAAATGATAGAAACCTTCATAGATCTCTTCTTATGTTGTTACCGAACGGTGGACAACAGCATCTTGCCGAGCGACTACAGAGAACTGAAGACCACCGGACATCTGCATACTACCGAATGTCTGCAGACTACCGAACAGCTGAACACTCAGAAGCCGTTTACAGTGTTTTAGAATAAGTTTTGTTAGTTTTATTATTTTTGTTTTCTCTTTCTCTCTTCCTCTTTGTATAAATATTTTACTCTCGTTGTACTTTACACTTACTACTGATATTCATTCACTTTCTGTTCTTTCAGGAATTCTCGTTTTCTCTCGTTTCTCAAACACTTACATGGCATCAGAAGAAAGCAAATAATTAGAGTTCTTCTTTTGCCCCCTTTCTTCATCTTCTGTTCTCTTCTCATGACTTTCTCAAATTCTACCACCGATCATCTTTCCAATCCTGCCCACCCTTTGTTTCTTCATCTCGGTGAGAACCCCACTCTCGTTCTTGTCAATCCTCCTCTCTCTGACACCAATTATCAACAATGGCGGCACGATATGCTTGTCACTCTTGAAACCAAGAATAAAGACAAATTCGTTCTTGGTACTATTTCTTGCCCTCCTCCTGATGATGTTCTTCACGAAGCCTGGAAAAGATGTAACAAGATGGTGATCTCATGGCTGATGCGCTCCATGACTCTCCCCATCAAACAATTTGTTATGTGGATGGATTCTGCGTACGAAATTTGGACCGATCTCCTTCAACGTTTTTCTCATGGTGATAAGTTTCGCATTGCTGATCTCCAAGAAGCCCTTCAATCTTGCAAACAAGGTGATTCCACTGTCTCTCAGTATTATACTCGTCTTCAAATACTTTGGAAAGAACTTTCTCTATATAAGACCATTCTTGTCTGCACCTGTCATTCTCCTTGTAATTGTGGATTATTGACCAAGATTTAATAAGAGCGCAACGATGATTCTGTCATCAAGTTTCTCCGTGGATTAAACAATGAATTTTCTTCAGTCTATTCTCAAATCATGCTAATGGAACCCATGCCGACTCTCCCTAAAAGCTTTTCTTTGGTCCTTCAACAAGAAGGAGAATTTCACAATTCCTCCTCACAAATTCCACAAGATTCAATGGCTAATTTCAATTCCCAAGACCCTCAGATCAAGACTTCTAATACCTCTCGTGGTGCGTTTTTTGGTCGTGGACGAGGACGTACTACTAAATTTGGTGGTCGTGCCAAATACTGAGATCATTGCAAAAGAACTAATCACACCTCTGACAATTGCTGGATCAAATATGGCCTTCCTCAAGGTTATAAACCTACCATCAAATCCAATTCTGCCATCTCCAATCCATCTGCCAACCTGACTGATGGCGTTTCACACAACTCCAATGAATCCTCCGTTGATAAAACCCAAGTTCAATGCACTTTTTCTCAAGAACAGTATGACGCTATTTTTGGCTTATTTAAACAGTCTCAACCTCCTACTCCTAGGGAGGCCAGCGTTAATCAATGCACTCCATAGTCATCAGGTTCTTTTTCTACACCCAATTTTTCTTCTTGGATTATAGATAGTGGAGCTACTGATCATATATGTTCTTCAAAATTTCTTTTTAATTCTTTACAGCCTATCACTCCTATTTCTATACGCTTACCAAATAATAGTTTTGTTACTGCTAAATTTTCTGGGACAGTTATTTTAGGCAATTTGGTTTTGCACAATACTCTATTTGTTCCCAATTTCTCTGTTCATCTTATTTCTATTTCTAAACTGTTACATTCGAATAATTCTTTCATTGTTTTTCATCAAAATAGTTGTCTCATTGTGCAGATGAATACTTACCAGACGATTGGAGTAGCTAAGAAATACAAAGACCTTTTTTGTCTTCTTAGTAATAATACCATAAGTACTTCAGAATTAAACGTTTTTCATTCTGTTATTCCATCAAACCTGATTTTTCAAATTTGAAAGTTTTTGGATGCTTATCATACTGCAGCTCTGTTACTGCAGGACGCACAAAACTTGATTCCAGAAGCAACAAATGCATTTTTCTTGGATACAAATTTGGAACCAAAGGGTTTGTGCTGTATGATCTGCATTCACATTCTACTATTATTTCACGAAATGTCATTTTTCATGAACATATTTTTCCCTATCAAACTTCTTTCACTTTACCTTCCTCCTACACATGATGATATTTCTGATGTTATTCTTTTTGATTTTCCAAATCTGACACCTATTTCCACTGTCCCAAATTATCCACCTAGTAACACTTCTCATCATACTTCTGATAGTATCATTATTCCTAAAGTTGAACAAAGAGTTTCTCTTAGAAACAAAACTAGACCTAAATATTTAGATCATTACTACTGTGGTACTACTTCTAGCATTACCTCATCCCATACTACCCCGTATCCTATGCATTTGTTCCTTTCTTATGCTAATTGTTCCTCTGACCACACTTCTTTTTGTCATAATATTTCTACACAAGTTGAACCTTTTTCTTTTAAAGAGGCTAGCAAGTTTGAATGTTGGCAGCAAGCTATGAACTCTGAACTTGCTGCTCTTGAAAGAAACCAAACATGGACTTTGGTGAATCTCCCTGCTGGTAAGAAACCCATAAGTTGTCGTTGGGTATATCGTATCAAGCATAAAGCGGATGGCTCTATTGACAGATATAAAGCCCGTTTAGTGGCAAGAGGTTTCACTCAAACTGAAGGATTTGATTACTATGAAACCTTTTCCCCTGTTGTTAAAATCACCATGGTTTGCCTTGTTCTTGCTCTTGCTGCCATCAACAAATGGTTTCTTCATCAATTGGATGTTGACAATGCTTTTCTTCATGGTGATTTAACTGAAGAAATATACATGAAGCCTCCCCCTGGTCTCTGTTCATCTACTCCTAATCTCGTTTGCAAGCTTCAAAAATCTCTTTATGGTTTAAAACAAGCCAGCAGAAATTGGAATCACAAACTCACATCAAAATTACTTTCTATCGGGTATACACAAAGCTCTGCCGACCACTCTTTATTTATCAAACATTCTCCCTCTACTATCACCATTCTTCTGGTCTATGTTGATGATATTCTTCTTTCTGGAAATAACTTGTCTGAAATCACTACTATCAAAGATCATCTCCACAGCAAGTTTCACATTAAAAATCTTGGAGATCTCAAATATTTTTTGGGATTTGAAATTGCTAGATCTCAAGCTGGAATATGTATCAATCAAAGAAAATACTGTCTTGAATTGATTTTTGAAGTTGGTATGTTAGGATGTAAACCTGCTCCCACACATGCTGATCCTTCTGTCAAACTTCATGCTGATGAAGGCATTCCTCTCACAGATCCTTCTTCTTACCAACATCTTATTGGACGATTACTCTATCTCACTATACGCGGCCGACATTGCTTTTGCCGTCCAACAACTTAGCCAGTTTGTTTCTACTCCTCGTCAACCTCATATGCAACAAGCCATGGGGATCATTAGATATTTAAAGAATGCTCCTGGTTCTGGTCTGTTATATGCTGTTAATAATTCCTTCCGCATTCATGCATACTCGGATTCTGATTGGGCTACTTGTGCTACCACTAGAAGATCCATCTCTGGTTTTTGCATCTTTCTTGGAACTGCTCATATTTCTTGGAAATCAAAGAAACAAACCACTGTTTCCAAATCTTCTTCTGAAACCGAATATAGGTCTTTAGCTTCTCTTACTTGTGAACTACAATGGCTGCAATATCTTTTAAAAGATCTGCATATACTGTGCCCGATTCCTTACTCAATCTATTGTGACAACAATTCTGCTATCCACATTGCCAAGAATCCCACCTTTCATGAGAGAACCAAACATATAGATACAGACTGCCACGTTACTAGACAAAAGCATCAAGATGGTCTCATCAAGCTTCTTCATGTTTCTTCTACCAATCAAGTTGCAGATGTTTTCACCAAATCTCTTTATCCTTCTCCTTTTAAAACTATTAATTCCAAGCTAAACATGCATAATATCCATGTTCATCTTGAGGGAGGGTGATAGAGACCTTCACAGATCTCTTCTTTTGTTGTTACCGAACGGTGGACAACAGCATCTTGTCGAACGACTACAGAGAGCTGAAGACCACTGGACATCTACATACTACCGAACGTTTGCAGACTACCGAACGTCTGCAGACTACCGAACGTCTGCCAAACGTCTGCAGACTATCGAACGTCTGCCAAACGTCTGCAGACTACCAAACGTCTGCCGAAGGTCTACAGACTACTGAACGTCTACAAACTACCGAACGGCTGGACACTCAGAAGCTGTTCGGTTACAGTGTTTTAGAATAAGTTTTGTTAGTTTTATTATTTTTGTTTTCTCTTTCTCTCTTCCTCTTTGTATAAATACTTTACTCTCGTTGTACTTTACACTTACAACTGATATTCATTCACTTTCTGTTCTTTCAGGAATTCTCGTTTTCTCTTTTCTCAAACACTTACAGTAAATAATATTTATTCTAAAAATAGCATAAACAAATGTCAAGATCTCACCTTAATTCCGATAGCAATGGCAGTTTTTAGTCGAACAAGTTCACCTAATATGAAGGAACCGTGTTTATTATCTCTAACAAAGATAAGGGGCACACTCCTTGATGAAGCCAAACTTAGTAGATGCTTCGTCAGCCATCGTGGGTTACAATCAGAAGCTACAAGCACAGCCTGCATAACGTACAACGCAAATAATGTACTCTATAGGACTATATAACTAAGTCACGCATACACACCTAACAGCAGAAAAAGCTATATACTACTAATACAACTTCGTTCATTATTATTGTGCAACTTGTTTATTTATTATGACGAAAAACTAATTGAGTTTGAGCAATTTAAGAAAATATAATGAGGCTCTCAGCCAAAAACAACCATTACAATTTGCAGGAATCAGCATAAACAAATAATCTATTTTTTCGTAATTTGCTGTTTGCAACACCATATAAAGGTTAAAACACCATAAAAAGTGCAAGTTGAAGAATTTACTTGCAAGTGGCTTTCATGTTAAAACAACCAATAGTTGCAGGAATCAGCAAAAACAAAGTTTAATTTTTCGTAGTTGGCTGTTTCCAGCACCATATAAAGCTTAAAACACCAGAAAAATGTACATGTTGAAGAATTTACATAAAAGTGATGAACTAATAAGTAAAAATGAAGGTAGTAAATATCCAATTAACTAAGGTATGCATATTCTACACAGGAAAATAGAGGAAATCAACCTGAAGCTTAACTGAAGGAGCTTTATTGTTGGTGCTTCTTAAAGGGAAGAGCTGATCAGACCTTTCTAACTCAGTGCATGGTTTCATGCGCTCAAGGACACGAGTTACATCATTGACCCCGATGGAGAATTGTTGCTGAAAGGAACAGTAGAAAGTTTACATGAAAATGTATGCTTCCTGATAAACATATCTTAAATTTCCAAAGTTTCATAAATCAAACCAACCAAGTAGAAGTCTAACCTTTAACCATATTTTCTCCGGCAAGGAAGTTCCATCTGAATCTCTTGCAGATCGGATCTCTCTGTTCAGCAGAATAAGGTCAGATCAGGTGAAAAATTACACCATTAATAAAGGTCATTAAGTGATTCGCTCTTTAAAATGTTAAAATTCTCGCAGGTGACTGCCTCAGCATCAGTCAACAATGGCCTTGTGGATCAAATCACGTTTGAAGAATGATAAATAAAATAAAGCACCAAATGTGAAAAAATATATCTTACCTACGGATTGATTGGAATAGATTGGTGAGACGTTCTCCTTCATAACAACTACAAATCAAATTAGAAAATTAAGTTTATAACAAAAATAAACACCAGCAATAACAACAGGGAGTGTTGCATACTTATTTTCTAGAGAAGCAAAGCTCGAATTTGTAGTGTCCCCAACCTTCTTTGGAGTTTTGACATTGCTCCTACTTGCCATAATTTACTTTCAATATTCACCGACTCAGCCTTAAGCGACTCCGACCCAACAAACTAATTCAAAAAGCCTTTTCAATCAGTTTGAGCAGGAGTATATTACATTCCAAAAATTCTTCAAAAGAAGCCATGGCATCGATATAAACAAAAATTGGTAACAGAACAAAAAATTTCAAAATCTCAACCGTATAAAGATTGCATGGGAAGAAATTGCGTAAAACAATATCGAAAGCATGTTAATCGAAAAATGGAGCTTGAAGTGATGCTTCCAATCACATTCCACCTTGTTAGAACTAAAAATCCAGAATCAAAAGAGGGAAGAAACAAGATACACATACACATTTACATTTACTAAATTTATATATTTGCTCGATAATAAAAATTTGTATGTGTTTTTGTTAAAATGAATAATAAATTTGTATGTGTTTTGTTAAAATGGATGTCAAAATTCGTAACTGAACATAGGTAGATATTAATATTTGAAAATTATTATTATTATTATCAAGTAAATTCAAAACTTGATAAAAATTTATTAAACCAAAAATAATTTAATTATAAAAAAAGTTCAAGACTTAATATAATAATTAATAATTTTAATGGTGAAACATGGTGAAACCATTGAGAGACAATGTGTAAACCAAAATTTTGAAAAAATAAAAAACCATAGACATAATATAAGTCAGAGATGTGAACATACAAGAAAAAGATGCAGAAAAACTGAAATGGGTTAACTCTAGCATAGAACAAATATAGAAGGGTGTGAACATAAGAAAAGAGGGTTCAAAAGAAAAAAAAGAAGAAAGAACTTTTTTTTTATTACTATTATTTTAATTTTTACTATTATTAATTTTCTTAATATTAAATTACCTATTTTTTATTCTAAAAAATAATTTATATATATTAAAAAAACAAAAACTTCTGCCATGAACCCTAACTGTGCCAGGGCCGCGCCACCCGCCCCAAAAAGATCACTGGCCGCATCATCGCCGGCGACTGCCGCTGGCGTCGCGCCACTTCCATTATCGAAACCCAACATCTGCCACATTGCAAATGAATGCTTCCTGCACCACATCTCCATCGATGAATCCGTTCCATTCAAGTCGAACCCAGATCTGCACCACGCCGATTTTTTTGGGCAAATTTCCTCTGGTATTATGCTCTGTTTAATTCTTTAATTCTTGCTTAAATTTTCATTAAAGTAAATAGAATTTTATTCTCCGGCTGTCAATTTTTTTTATGATTTAAAGAACAAAAATAGCCATTCAAGAAGAAAACAAAACTTATCGCAAAAATACCAAGAAATTGTGCATGAGATTTACAGGAAAGAAGAGTATCAAACATTGATTAACAAACACGCAGGAGCACATCCGAAATATAAGAAATTTGACCAGTTATTTAATCAATTTAACTAAAGAGATAAAGAATGGGATAAAGAACCTTCGCTGTGTGAAACCAATACTATTCAAACCTTCTTTCCCCTTCTCTGCTTTCTCAACCTTTTCCGAATTCTTCTTTCTTCTCTGCCTTCTACTATTTTCCCACGCTTTTTTCCCGCTTCTTACTTTCTTCACCTTTTTTTCCTCCTTTTTCAATCCCAGTTCCCTCCCCTATGTTATTCCAATTCTAAAAACCCAGTATGCTCCTTTTTCTTTCAAACTTCCACCTATATATAGCAAGTCGAGTGTCCCTGTGTACTAACCTGGTAACTCCCTTCCTGCCACGTGGCCGTGTATGAGTGGCGAGTTTTCTTTTTTAAAAGCTGTGAATCAGTTCATTCGGCTGGGTTTTCATACTTTCCTTTTCTTTTATCATTTATATCAACTATAAATTCTTACTAATAATGTTTATTTTATAATTATGGTTTAATTTCGAATGTTATGTAGAGAAATCTCAAATAGCTCATCCTATTTTTTATATCTCAATTGTAAAATTGAGTCAATTATAACTTTGTCGTTAATTGGACTGGATGACGTTAAATTTTTTAAGTCATGACATAATGACTGGGCAATTGTTAAGCACGTGGCACACATTACGTGGAATTTATTTATTTTAACATTTAAATAAATTAAATTTATTTCTTAGAGATGACGTCATTCTTCCACTCCCCGATATACTCATTCCTGTTGTGCCACGTGTACCTTCCCTCCCCTCTGCAGGTTGCACCGCCACCAACCCTCGTACACGTCGTTGTTTGCATATCGCTTCTCCTCAAACCCGTGCTTCCTGTTCATGATAAATATCCCGTCGGCACCAACAAAGGTCTTAAAGTTGTGCATCCTCCCGGCAACAAACACTACCGCCCAATATAAACCAAACTTCTGCCAATCCAAACCAAGCCCACAAGGCCTCCATCAAGGTCAGAATGGAGCAACTTCGCTGCCAACCACCACGCGAAACAGGTTGTCGCTGCCATCGCAACCACCGTGATACCGTTCGCATCCCAACTTTGCCAGAACTGGAAATTGGAAACTCTTTCTCCCACGGTCACAGGCAACATCAGGAGACAAGAACCAACCCTAGTCGTTAAGCCCCAAATCGCACCATGAGAAACAAGAACCAACCTTAATCGCAAAAAAACTCAGAAAATCCAAAATTGCATGAACAGATTCTAAAACCCCCCAAAATTCTAAAAAAAAACCCTAATTCCCAAAGTTGTGACACGGTTCGATGTTTCGTTCCTTTTCCTTAATCGCATTGCGAACCTACTCGTACATTACAAATCTCTCTTTTAATTCTGGGCCAGTTGAACTTTGTTCGCTTAGTGAGAATTAGCTTCAGGGTTCCTTGTTTTCTCTCGTTTTGAATTTTGGGTGTGATTGTCTCTTCCATTATTGGTTAATTGTACTATGCGATTGGAATTAGCTAGGATAGGTATGGTTGTAATTTCCAGGTTGTTGTACTGTCTAGTTCCGGTGGTCAAAAGCGGAGCTACAAGGCTAGCGGCGATGCCATTGTGGATGCCATGTTGGAGATTGTTGCTGCTTCAAAGATGAGGGCCAATGCAATTCTGAAGAACGAGGACATGTTCCCCATAAGCAAGTGCATTAAGGTGTTGGATGAGTTGCAAGGTGTTGATAAACAGTTCTACTTTCTTGCCTTGGATTTGTTTGAGAACAACTTCAGTGCCCGTGATATTTTCATCTCTCTCAAGGGTGACAAGAGGTTGTCATGCTTTCATCTTTGAATTTAGGGATTTAATAAAATCTCAATTCTTTTTTAGTTTTAAATTACACAAAATGTGAGTTTTCTCTACGCCACGTGCTTAACAATTGCACAGTCACCATGCCATGACCCAAAAAATTTAATGTCGTCAAGTTCAATTAACGAAAATGTTACAATTGACTCAATTTTATAAGAACATGGACCTAATTAAGATAAAAAAAAATACGAGGACCTATTTGAGACTTCTCTGCATAAATAGGGACATTCGAAATTATTAAACCTATAATTATTGGGTTTGGTAAATTGTGTAGGTTCTTTTTTCAGTTGGTACATTTTAGTAATGTGTATCGGGTTTTAGTAGACAAAAATATCTTCATATTTTATGGATTCTAAGTTTTAAGGTTAACGGTATTTGAATAATTTTCATTCTGAAAAAAAATAAAAATTAGAAACCCCCAACCCTTACTCACATCCCTCCTTGCTTTCAACCTTTTCTATTTCATCTCTCTCACTCCAACATTTTCTTTATCATTNTCGCCGGCGACTGCCGCTGGCGTCGCGCCACTTCCATTATCGAAACCCAACATCTGCCACATTGCAAATGAATGCTTCCTGCACCACATCTCCATCGATGAATCCGTTCCATTCAAGCCGAGTTTTGAGGGTCGAGGGTCGACGGCTGAGGGCCGAGTTTCGAGGATCGAGGGCCGAGCTTCGAGGATCGAGGATCGAGGATCGAGGGCCGAGTTTCGAGGATCGAGGATCGAGGGCCGAGTTTGAGGATCGAGGGCCAAGGGTCGAGGTTCGAGGTTCGAGCTTGAGCTTCGAAAGCACCTTGGGTCGAGCTTCTAGGGCCGCCGAGGGTCAAAGGTTGAGGGCCGAGCGCCGAGGGTCTGGCGTCGAGGGTCGAGGGTTGAGGGTTGAGGGTCGAGGGCCGAGGGTCGAGGGTCGAGGGCCGAGGGTCGAGGGTCAAGTTTCGAAGATCGAGGGCCGAGGGCCGACTTTCGAGGGTCGAGGGTCGATAACACGCCATCAATAATCGACGAAACAAGTTTAGCCTGCCACGCCAGCCACAAATTAACGTAGAAAAAAAATAATGTAAGCGTAAGTAATGAAACCTTTAGTTTCACAATGCAGAGAATTTCCTCCCACAATTTGTATATCCTTCCGACATTACAACGTAATGAAACCTTTAGTTTCACCATGCACAGAATTTCCTTTCACAATTTGTACATCCTTCCCACATTACAAAGTAATGAAACCTTTAGTTTCAGAGTGCACATAATTTGCTCCCACAATTTGTATATCCTTCCCACATTACAAAGTAGTGAAACCTTTAGGTTCACTGTGCACAAAATTTCCTCCCACGTATATCCTTCCCACATTAGAAAGTAATGAAACATTTAGTTTCACAGTGCACAAAATTTCCTCCCACATATTGTATATCCTTCCCACATTACAAAGTAATGAGACATTTAGTTTCACAGTGCACAAAATTTCCTCCCACAATTTGTATATCCTTCCCACATTACAAAGTAATGAAACCTTTGGTTTCACAGTATACAGAATTTCCTCCCACAATTTGTATATCTTTCCCACATTACAAGTATATACTCCATTAATATAACATGTACAAGTGATTCTCACAAACTCCCACATTCCAATAACTCATCATTAATAATCAACCAAACATGTTTAGCCAGCCACAATCAACCCAATGAAACTGAAGAGAGAAAAGGACAATATGAAAACGAAAAGTCCACATGATAGATTATCAAGAACCGGTTGCTAATTACCACTACTAAAATTCAAATTTATAGAACTTTCAAACAAAGAATCAAAGTCCTACCCCACATGTCCTATATTCATTGTGAACTACGTTACACAACAAATCCAAACACCATTGCAAAAATATCACAATTCAATCCATGTTTAAGGTCAAGAAGTCTGAGACATTAAATACCAGAAGAAAATCATCATCCAAAATGTCTGCAAAAGATTATCCTACACCATTCTAACCTCTTTTCAACTATTTTAATCAAATGTCTGCAAAAGAAATCTCAGATCTGGCAACAAGATGAAAAGGAATTTTNCTGTCTAGTTCCGGTGGTCAAAAGCGGAGCTACAAGGCTAGCGGCGATGCCATTGTGGATGCCATGTTGGAGATTGTTGCTGCTTCAAAGATGAGGGCCAATGCAATTCTGAAGAACGAGGACATGTTCCCCATAAGCAAGTGCATTAAGGTGTTGGATGAGTTGCAAGGTGTTGATAAACAGTTCTACTTTCTTGCCTTGGATTTGTTTGAGAACAACTTCAGTGCCCGTGATATTTTCATCTCTCTCAAGGGTGACAAGAGGTTGTCATGCTTTCATCTTTGAATTTAGGGATTTAATAAAATCTCAATTCTTTTTTAGTTTTAAATTACACAAAATGTGAGTTTTCTCTACGCCACGTGCTTAACAATTGCACAGTCACCATGCCATGACCCAAAAAATTTAATGTCGTCAAGTTCAATTAACGAAAATGTTACAATTGACTCAATTTTATAAGAACATGGACCTAATTAAGATAAAAAAAAATACGAGGACCTATTTGAGACTTCTCTGCATAAATAGGGACATTCGAAATTATTAAACCTATAATTATTGGGTTTGGTAAATTGTGTAGGTTCTTTTTTCAGTTGGTACATTTTAGTAATGTGTATCGGGTTTTAGTAGACAAAAATATCTTCATATATTATGGATTCTAAGTTTTAAGGTTAACGGTATTTGAATAATTTTCATTCTGAAAAAAAATAAAAATTAGAAACCCCCAACCCTTACTCACATCCCTCCTTGCTTTCAACCTTTTCTATTTCATCTCTCTCACTCCAACATTTTCTTTATCATTCTTATGCTCCAACTGAAAAAATCATAAATACTCGCCTAGCCTTAATTCACCTTTTTTGCTTATCTAATTTGTTTATCTCTTATCTCCATACTCCATCTCACCCATACACAATAACCCATGACATAACAATTTGTTGTTCTTGCTCTGTTCGTTCATTTGTCTTCCACTTTAATAACAAAATAATTGATGATGTTGATGTTGAATTTTGATTTGAGGGTTGTGTTATATCTTTTCCATCTTGATTGTTATTAAATTTCATTTTTAAATTTTAGAATTAGTAGTTTATCTTTATAAAGATTTGATATTTTGACTATTAAGTTGTTCGAAAATATTTTTCAAAAGAGAATGTGGAAAGGAGATTCCGAAAGGGGTAAGTTATTGTCCAAAAAATGGATTTATGAGGTGAGCTCTTAAAAATAAGAACAAATGAAACTCCTACACATCGTACTAAATGATTTAACAAGAACAAATTATTAAAGAACATAGACTATTGCTCGTTGCCTTTGAATGTTTCATATTATAAACATATTTTCATTTCATTTTTGTAAAAAAAATAAAAATATTATAACAAATTACACATCTTCTAGATTTGAG